GTCTTCCATGTGTTCCCCTTGTATTCACTCTCTCGTCCGGCACACCTGCTCTTCCCGCACGACATTGCAGGCTGCAGTCTCACAGCAGTTTCTTGCTGTAACTCTCGCTTCGAAGAAGTGCAACAATAGAGACCAATTACCCTCTGTCTCCACTCTTATTGCAATAAGCCTGAGGAGAAAAAAAAAAAAGAAAAAAAAGTGAGTGCACCCCCTCCCCCCACTACCCTTTCAATTTCAAATCCTAACCCTGTTGGTATTGCCATTTGTGGATTTGAACTCCCCGGCTTTGTGTGCGGCATTATCTGGAGATTCACCTGGTACTGATCCAATGAACCAACGCAACCTTACAAAGCTGAAGGGAAGAGTGTAGAGTTCTCTTTGTAATAAATCATATGCCATGAAAAAGGATTTCTTTAACTCCTTTCCTCCATTATTCTCCGTATCTCACCTTGTGGAAATGGGTCTGTTAGTGAGAGACTTAGACTCACATAGTAGGAACTATGAGCAGGGGAGGGAGAACTGAAATGAAAGGAAGGCAGAGTTCCTGGAGGTTTCTGTAACTTGGAGATTCTAGAAAGAAGAGGCACAACCTGAAAAACGAGGAAGCAGCCCTAAAAATAAACCCAGCATAGGCCTTGGTACTAAACCTTCCCCGGTTCTAGAAAGGGACAAGGATGTTTTCATTAAAGCGGCTGCATTAGAAATCCTTAAAACCAGTGACGAGTTAAGCCCCCAGAGCCAAGGACGTTCTGTCCAAATAATTGCCCAGCAAGCTGAATGCTGGTCTGAACATCTTTGGTTTTATTGAGTTGAGCTGGTAACCTCTTGAGATCTGGCTGTCTCCCAAGTAGGGAGGGATGAATACTGCAAAATGTTTCAGTTTCCATTTCAATTTTGAAACTCATTTGCTTTGACTGAATTTGCACAGTGTTTATGTAAATTTATAAACACTGTAATAAATTTATCTACTTATAGAGAACAGAAATTTTAGAAAAAGGCTGGAGAACATTTGTGAAACGCAAATTCCAATTCAACAAGTATAATCACAGAACCTGATTTAAATGTACATTCAGTCACAAAGCAGAAACATAGTATGTGGTAGGTATATCTAGCAAACCCTAACAAGTATAATCCAAAATCCAAACAATTGTTAACAGCTTAAATATTTTAAATTACATATAAGTCACTTTTTGTGGCGGCAATGACTATGTGACACACAACCTTGGTTTTCACAATATGAATGAAAACCACGATCAGGTGATAGTAGCAGTTTGCTACTTTGCTTGTTATTGAAATCTCACCTACTTCTGACTACACTTTTTTCTAACCTCTAAGAGTCTGTGCCAGCACATCATTCTTATCTGGCTCCGTGTCAATATTACCTGACGCATTTATAAGAGCATTCATGGGCATGGCCATTAAACCTCATGGAATGGACTACTCTCCAGTGTTCTTACTCTGGAGATGTTCACCTGCTCCAACCTCCATTGATTTTGAAGCTGCTTTTGTCTTTGTTTGCTCCTCTTGGAGTCTATAATGTCTCCTGTTTTGCTCCCCTCCATATGCCCTTTCAAAGATCATCCTTAAACAGTTCTTTAATGTAATTTAGGGGCTTTTCCCCTTGTTAACTTTGTACTGAACACATTCGTTTGTTTACTGCACAAAATAAACATCATCTGTATAGGACAGATTTGGAGGCCCTTTCTAAATCTGGGGAACCCTTAAAGTCACATGAGGAACCATAGTGAAGCCAGTATCAACACTTGCATTCTGAGTAAGAGAGCTGGTCTCAAATATTGAAAGATCCTGCATTATATCTGAACGCAGTTGTTTCCCATTGTAGAGCTGCTGTTTCCAGAGTATACCTGTATTTCTACTTTGCCTACCCCGTGCTTGAAGCAGCAGGTAAACAGTTAAGTAACAGAAGCAGCAAGCAATGTGTACTAGAAATGAGCTGGTTTAAGATTGGTAAGGGGAATTAAAAAGCAGTGCAAGATGCAATTTTTAAGTTATCCTGTTCAACCTCTTGCATTGGAGGTATTAGCCACAAGGGAGATCACATCATCTGGGAGCAAGAGAATATAATGAATGCAGGGTCTGTAATAGGCATGTGGGAGACTCTTACCGTATGTTTTGGTCATGTCCTGATATACGTGAGCTTTGGGAGACAGTTCTACATGTAATAGAGTCAATAATCAAATCTGAAGTACCAAGGAACACAACTTGATGTTTCCTTAGAGAGACCACGAGTTTGCAACAGATGAATAAAAAGAGAATGTGGTAGATACAAATTTGTCTTTAGGCAAAAAGGAAAGAAAAAAAGACTTAAAATCGGGGGAAAATAAGAAAATTCTACGCTGTTGCCAAACTGGAAAGAAATAGTAATGCCTACATTTAATTAATTGTTGTTACATTGATAAAGATGTGATATACCACATCAAAGACTAGCAAAATGATATTTGGAAATCAATTTGGGTTCCTATTAAATAGAGCTCAGAGGAGCTTCTCAAATGAATAACTTGTTTGTATTGCTTCCTTCTGTTTATAAAGTCTTCTCAAGTAAAGACAACTATTTTCAACTGTTCCTGTTGTTTGAAATGAACGATGAGATTCATCACTAACCAGACATTCATGGCAAATTCAAATATTGCCAATTGCAATGCCTTAGTATCTTACAGAAACTAGATATTACTTACTTCTATTCCCTATAGGTCTGGCTTACATAAAGTTACCTAAAAAGTCCCAAACCCCAAATTTAATATTGACAATCCACGCTTGAATTTAAAATTTGCTTTTGGTGCTCTATAGCTTGGCCACTTCAATGTGCTTTGGAAATGGACTTAATGGAATCAAAATATACTTGTTGCCTGTAGTGTTATTAGTTTTAAATATTCTTAAAAAAATGTAAATGGGACATATTAACCACATAAGGGGATGTGATTTCAGGTTCTGATCTCTTAAGAAAGTTATTGTGTAGAGTGATCATGCTGTTTTCTTGGGAACTCTGCCAAAATACAGTAAAACTCATGATAATCACCACAGTTTCTGCTTTTGTTAAATGAGAAACTCATTCCTGTGATTCTTCCCTTATACCAGTTTTATCCCAGTGTAATTCCACGTGTGTCTCTGGAAGTACTTCTGATTTTGTATTATGGTATGTGACTTCAAAAGAAGATAGGATTTAGTAGAACTGAGTGGAGAGAATTTACATGAAGACCAAAAATAAATCAAAAAAAAAAAAGAGAGAGAGAGAAATCTTATATAGTATGTTTTGCATTATAGTGGGATGGAGACAACTTTCAGAATTGTCTGTGGAATTGTAGCTGTTGGATTGTCCAGAGAAGAAATCCATCTGTTCTCTAGACAAGCAGACAGGTGACCACCAAGACAAGGAGGTGGATTTCTTCCCCACAGCGAGCCGTGCAGCTCGCCTGTGCAGCAAGTCAGCAGTGATGGAGCTGCAGAGCTGGCAGTTGGGGGTTTGAACTCCCAGACAGCCTGATGGTTGGGTTATCTAGGGCCAAGGAGCACGGCAGCTCCTGCCTGCTTAGCTTCCCATAAGAATTTTTATAGAGGAATGTCCTGTTAACTTTGTATGTTTTGGTTCATAGGAAAATATTCTTTTATAATTTTTGGAAATGAATTTAATCCTCTGGTTTCATCCCCTCACTTTTCTTAGCATTCCACCTCTCTGTCTTACTCTATTTGGGTTTGATGTATGCAAACATTTGCTTCAGCTGTTAGAGAAGTGAAGTATTTTCCTTTCTTTTTGCCAATTAAACTTATGGTTTTCAGTCATCAGATTCTTAGAATTTTTGTCAAAGGATAGCGCTACTGGAGTAAATCTCTATTGTCTGCATAGGTGTGTTCAAAAGATTAAGGCTGAACAGACATTCTCATAATAGACCAGGGATCAATGAAAGCTCTTCTTTTCTCAAGAAGCTTTAAGGCTTAGCAGTGAGGTTGATTTTTTTTTTTTTTCATTTGTTTGTTTTTAAATATAAAGGAAGTTGCATCTCTGCCTGGGCTTTTAATATTTGTGTGGTCTTCCATAGAATTCCTGAGTAAGATCTACCCCAAGTCCTTTGGTCCCAACCTCGGCTTGAGACAACAGAAGAGATTTTCTCCCGGCTTGTGTCAGTGGTCACAGATTGTCTAGGTGATCTCTGCAGTAGGCAAGGGACATGATTTCCCCCTCCCATTTGTGCCAATTTCAGCTTTTTTTATTTCTTCTGCATTCACTCTAACAACAGCCCATTGAGTTTCAATGGGATTTCACAAAGAATGGGATATTACTCCATGGGACTGGGAGCAGCAGAATCAAACTCAAGCCAGTGTACGGAGAGGGATATGAGTCAGGGCAGGAAGGAGAAGCCAAGGTGGCACACACGCTTCAAAGCCCACAAGATTTGATGGCCAATAAGCATTTTAGCTTAGAGTCTTGGTTGACTAATTTTTGTGTAGGCAATTGCAGGAGGGGAAGAGACTGAGGCCCTGGGTTAGAGGAACAATTACGTTCATGCCTTAAATCCCTTAAGCACATACTTAATGGCCATTGATTTCGATGCTTTAACAGCTTTGCTGAGTCAAGTCCTGACTGAGGGCAAAGTAAAGGCCTGGTGATGTGGTTTATTAATCACCCTCATAGCTATAGATCCCCCAGCTAGACCATTGAAGACCTTGAAGGGTCTTCCAGTGCCAGCAAGGCAAGCTGGCAAAAGGCAAAGCATAGAGTGTGAGCATATGTGTTGTAGAGGGGAAGAAGGGCGAATGACCAAAGTTCAGTTAATACTCTGCTGTTCGTGTCATTTCTAAAAGTGGCCATTGCTGCAGGCTTTCCTCGTCTCCAGGGGAGCATTTGCTTTGCTATTTTTCCATGAGAATAATTTGTTTAAACACATCAGCTGCAGAATATATCCCTAATTCTGCAGCTGAAGCCAGAAGAGGATGCAGCCCATATATGTCCTTTGTGTGTTATTGTTTTTTTTGTGTGTGTGCAGGTGCTCCCTGATGGGGTTTGATCTAAACCGGCACTGGGCAAATCCATCTCCCTGGGCTCATCCCACACTGCACGGAGTGAAACAGCTCATCATTGAGATGTACAACAATCCGGTGAGTGGGGAAAGGTGATGCCAGAACAGGCACTTGCTGAGGTGGTGCCGACTGTCTCCCGCTGCAGGGTTGTGTGAGATGCCAGCGACTCCGACGTGGCTTTAACCTAGTGGCAAACCAAAATAAGAGAGAAGTAAGCAAACACCACCCCCACCGCATGAGATCGGGGAACATCTGTGTCTTTTGTCACAGGAAGCATCAGAGTGGAGAGAGCAAGCGAAATGAAGTTCAGCTCAGATTAAATATGGAATGATTCTGAAAGCAGGGCCTAAATTCAATCGAGCTGCTCTCGTGATGTCCTGAGCTGGATTCGAAACAGCAGGCCCCCCAAATTGAATTACTGAATGGCACTGATGTTTAATCCAGAGCTCCGGCAGGGGTTGCTATGTAGCGTGCAGAGCAGGAGGGGGATAATATTTGCAAATATTATATAAACACACACACAGACACTCGTGCTCACTCAGAGAAGCAGAGGTGTTCTTGAAGGTGAAATCTTAGCTAATCAGAGGAGATGGATTGCAGAGAATATGGAGAAGAGGAGTGGGAGGGAGGCAGACAGCTATTGAATGTTTGACATCAAAGCGCAGAAGGATTATTGAACGTGGCACCTAAGAAAAACTGCTGAACAAAGATGGAGATGGGTAGGAAAAAATCACTGCCAAAAAAAAAAAGAGGAAATTTTTATAGATGATTGTTTTTTCTGTATGGAATTCCTGGTATTTGCCCTTTCTTTTTGCTTCCCATTATGGAGATAGCATTTGGATCTTTAATTCCATGAAGTTTTCCTAATCTTTTTTTTAATTATTTTTTATTTCTGTTAGTGTGAAAAAGGACCTGGTTTGCCTCACTAATAAAGAAAGAGGATTCTTACCCCTGGCTACATAATGCATAGGATAAGAGCTCCTTTTAATTTAACTCCTGATTCTCCCAATACATCTTAATTGGACTTTTCATCTTCCAGCTAGAAGTAATATCTGTACAGAAGGGATTTTAGGTACAAGGAAGATAGGTTAACAGACAAGGTCCTTACATATGGAGTGGAATCCAATAGCATGGAAAATATTTTCTTAGACTGCTAATAGTTTGGCACAGAATTTGTTTTTCTGTTCTGTTTGTGCAGCACCGAGCATCATGCCTGTGACCAATGCTCCTAAGCCCTGCTGCATTGGAGTGATGAAGATGGAAAGTAAAAAAAGGTGCTTTACAGCCAGCCTGTTTTTTCCTCTGTTTCCTACCCTAAATAGCAAGACAATTTTCCTTCTAGATGATGGAGAGAGCATGCAGCCTGCTTTGTCTGAGAAGAAAGGTTTTTTTCCAGGAATAAAGAGGTCCTTAAACATTACAAGAAGGTTGGGCGTAGGGAAATGCTTCCAGCTAGTAAAGCAACAAATCCTGACACTATTAGAAGTCACTGTCAGTAAAAAAAAAAAAAAAAGCTATTCTTGGGAGGAAAAATATTTCTTTTCAGCTTTGTCCCATTCCTGGGAAGCTTTGAAAACTCTGGTACTTTCCAGCTGCCCTATGTGTGAAGAATGAATTTATTTGCTGTAGTGGCTAAAATGAAAAATCAAAAGAAGTGTTTGGTCAGAGTTGGTCTGAAATGGAAATCTTTTTTTTCCTCCATCTCTCCCACTCCTCCCCACTGATCAACGTAAGATGAACCAATTCCAGTTCATTTCCTTCTGAGAGAAAGAAAAAGGACCCTTTCAAACACAAGTGTAGCATTTCATTTTCAGGGTTATTTAATTATTTTAAAATACTATTTAGGAAACTTTTTTTTTTTATTATTATTAAACTGCCAGCAAAGTTCAGGTGGCTCTTCAGAGTTTCATTTCTCAGTGAATTAGCTACTCACCAAAAAAACTCCTTGTCTGGTTTTGTCATCCCTTAGTCAATACCAGCCCTTCTGACAGTTTTAGAGACTCTCAGAAATACAATGCAGTATAAGGGATTATTGTTTTTTTCAGGCAATACCAGATTCTTAGTCCCTCTGATCCAAGTAATATTTGTATGAACAGACCATATCAAAAGTGCTGGGACAAAAGGGGAAAACATGCCAGTTACCTTTAGAGAGGGCATCCTGCTTTAGCAGTGACTGATTTTCTTAAGATTAAAAAAAAAAAATAGAAACAAAATAAAATATCAAGTGATTAAAAAAACCTCTCCTCCTGACCGAGTGCCAGAATAAAAATCTGCTTTGAATCAGTTCAGGCTCCTAAAGGTTTTAAGTGCTGTCCAGGTGCAGAGTGTAACTTTTAGATGAGTAACACATGATAGATGGTTGTCCGCAAGCGTGGGTGAACCAGTTGCAGGGGGGGCTGTTGGCCACCTGCCACAGATCAGGGATTATGCATTTGAACACATCTGTCCTGCCACCCTCTCCTCACCTGAAGTCTTCCCACACTGGGGAATATGAAATGAAATAAAATGCAATGTCAGGTTCCCTGCAAAATAATGTAATAAAAAATAACCTTCGTCCCTCCCATTCTAGACAAGATCTGCCATGAGGAGCTGCCCACAAGAGATTGGATTGTTTAAAGCAGAGGAAGTTCAGCTTCATGTTGCTATTGCGGAATGGCTCAGTGCAGGCCTTTTAGATGTATTCATTCCCTTAAATCATTTAAGGAAAATTAGCTGCCATAAGAGCATAAACCCACATTTTAAATATTGCTGTATAGGAGGATTTTTCTTCTGCTGCTGCAGTATGGAAGATAAGCTTTTTCCTTTGAAAAAAAAGTTCATTCTGGAGGGGGGAGGATGACTGGCACAGAAGTAAGTGAAGTGGGTATGAGGCGCACACACAATGCCGTAGCTACAGTGATTCCAGTGCTGAGTAGTCCAAGGCTAAGTGTTTACTGTAGATACTCTATAAAAATAACCCAAAGCACCTGTGGTTCTCCGTTCTTCTGAGTTATACAAAGTGTGCTTATTTTATTTTTAAAGTGTTTCAAATTCCATAATGACCATATCATCTTTAGGGAGAGAGTGTATGAGTTACGAAATCGGAGACCGATAGGAAGCTTTTGATCTCCACATCACTGATTCCGAAACAATCACTCCCGATGGTACACCGCTGTCATCGTGCTGGCCTGTGTGAAGTGAGGGGATATTCTCAGCTGTTTCTAGTGGTGTCAGTCTCGCAGATGAGACTGAAGTGACAGACTTGCTCTTTTAGATCACGTGTTATTGGCTGAAGATATTTCTGTTCTTAAGTACCTTTCCCTGCCCATATGCCAGACATCACTGCTTTCCCATCTCTCTACCAGACGATACATGTAGAAGATTACCCATGCTCCATGCTGGAGCAGGTTAGCAGAATTAGCTCAGAAAATGAATGCATTGTTTAAACCAACTCAACTGACTTTTGTCTGAAGTACATCAAAGGATGTTCATATGAGCTGTTCCAACCACTGCACCGTGGGGCCAGGAAGTTCTGCTTGGGCATGATAACACACTTCATGTAGAGAGCTGTTTGGAGAATTAATGTCTAGGTAAGGAGTCTAATAAAGCATATATGCACAGCTGGATTTAAACACGTGAACAATCTGATTGAATTCAGCAGTGTTCCTTGTGTGCTTACAGTTAAGAAGGTGCTTAAATGTTTTGGACTGGGGATCAAGTGCTCAGCACTGGCAAGCTCAGGGTATGGATTGTCTATGGAGATCAAACAGTCCTTATCTCTGGGATAACTTGAAGCCTCAGAGACAGAAAGAGCAGGAGAACTGCTTGATTGTTGAACAGGTTATATGTGGCCATCCAGCATGTCTCCCAACAACCAAATGCACTCTTTAAAACACATTTAATGAGTGAACTCAGGTAGCATCTTCAGCGTCAGCTCAGGCCCCTTGAGCATATGCATTGTGATATGGTCTTTAATCATAGGGGCTCATGTTGTTCTCTCAGCTACACCACTGCCTCACTGAGTTCTCCAAATGAAAAACTTTCACTTAATAAGCAGCTATTCAGCGTTTTGGTTTAGCTTCAGTGTTCGTTGTGCAGCCCTGTCCTGTATTTACTGTGTGCTATTCAGATCCTGCTCTGAGGATAGAATTGTTAATCTCATGGGCTTTTTTGTTTTGCTCGTTGCTGTACCCTGGGGGCATTTCAGAAGTGTTAATTATTTTTTGAGGGACCCCTGTGAGAGGCAAATGCATTATCGTTGTATGGATAGGAAACAGAGGCAGAAGCAGTTATGATCAGAAGTACCTACTCATTTGAGATAGGTAATATAAGATGCTTGGGCTCAGATTTGATTCGTGTCATTCACCAAGGCTTGATAAGTTCACTGTCTTGTTTCTACCCCTTTCTTCTTCCAGAAAAATTGGGATAGACTATTTCTGTCATTTGAAGTTCTTAGGACCTAGAAGACAAGGAATAGGCAGAGACTGACTGCTGGGGAAGCATTGGTTTCAAGTGATTTGTCCCCCTCAAATGAAATTGCAGAGGCAGGATGCAGTGCTCCCAGGCACTCTCGTTGCAACACCATGCTTTGTCTCCTCACATCCATTTCTTCTGTCCTGCCTGTTTTCCACCTCCTCTTGTCATTGAAGCTGGAGTCCTACATGCAGATGATTCCTGTGTTAGACACTATAGACCTCGTGCCCTGAGTGAGCTGGAGACCTGACCAAAAAGAAAGCAAAAAACTACCCACCTGGGGTGTGCTCATTAATTATCATCTCCTTTGTCACACACACATATACCAAAGTCTTAAATTACTCCTGCATAGGCAACTTTTCTGTTTCCATTCCATTTGGAGTGCTTGTCATTGCAGCCTTTACATATTTTTAATACTATTTGGGGTGAAAGTTTTCATTGATTCAAAGCAAAACATACAGCTGAAATGAAGGCCCAGAGTGCTGAAATCTGAGTCATCAGCTGGGCTGGAATCTTTAGATGCACCACATAGACATCTGCCACAAGAGCTGATGAATTAACTGATAGAGGATGGCAATCTGCTATTGCTGTGGACTGATGTGAGGGAGG